TGAAATGCTTTTTCGATCGTTATGTTATGATAATTTTTGACAAAGTTGCTCTATCTTGAATTTTTAGAAATTATCGATATATTAACGCAGTGTCCGGTCAATTAGTTTGGTGACTGTAGCTTCACATATCTTTCATGCAATTATTAATAAATAATATAACAAAAGTACAATATAATTACATCAAATTTAGTGAAGTAATTGCCTATGAGAGCCGACACGGGTGTTGGTGTGTCGGCTCTCATAGCCAATTACTTCACTATATTTGATTTATTTCTTGGAGCCTATTCATTCTAAATTCAAACATAAATACATATTCAATATTATTAATATTTAAATTAATGCAAAATATAAAAATTATTAATAATAAAACATAAAACAATAACATTAAAATAAAATAGAAATTTAAGAATTACCAAATGATTAAATTAAATATAAATATTTTAAAATAAGGAAACAACATAGGAAACGTGAGGCAGATGTATACGTAAAGCTTTTAAAAATATATGATACAACAAAAGATGCAATTTTTTAATCGCAGAGTTAATTGATACGTTATCTCTGCTTATTAAATCAAACAAAACAGGAAAAGTTTACAAAGTAACTGATATCACAAATTATTGTATCTAACAAGCTTGATATTTTTATTTTTATTACAGGAATTAAATGGCACAATAGGCGAAAGATATTAACACCTACGTTTCATTTTAATATATTAAAACAATTTGTTGAAATCTTGATTGAAGAAGGAAATCATATGACGAAATCTCTGAAAGATATGAAAGGATCTGTTGATGACTTAATGTCCTTTATCAGTCATCATACATTAAATGCTATATGTGGTAAATTAATATATATGCATATATAATTATGAAATAAGAAAAGCTATTTTAGCATGGACATTTAATCCAATAAATCAATTTATATTTATAACAATTTTTATTAATTATATCTAATCCTAAACTTACAAGTTTCTATATTATTTGACGAAAACGACTTGAAAGTGGCTTTCAATAAAAAGATTATTTTTTATTTTATCAAACTGTTAAAATCAAAATAGTAGAATTAATAAAAATAAATAATTACGTTATTAAATGTATTTACAGAAACCGCCATGGGTACTTCCTTGCAAGACATGAAGAGTGATGTTCAGCAACAATATCGTGAGGCAGTCTACGACATAGGAGAGATTCTAATTTATAGGTAATTGACATGGCAGTTTTGATCGAATATATTTATAGCTATTTTTAATATCACAAAAAAGAATTAAAATTGTTGTAATTAATAAAACTTACATAACTTATAAAGCCACATATAAATTCACATTTCTTAAAAAAAAAACTATTAAATACATATAACATATAGATTAATGAGACCGTGGTTAACTCCCAAAATGATATTTTCATTAACTTCAATGGGGGAAAAACATGAGAAAGCTTTAAAAATATTGCATGGTTTTACCGAAAAGGTAAGTAAGAATTGTTATTTAAATATGTAAAAAATTTATCTTAAAAAAATTATATTAAATTTAAACTGGTTTCTATGCATGATATTGATAATTAGTTTAGCAGTATTATATATATATATATATTACACACACATACACACACACACACACACTTTTTGTACTGATTTTGTAGATTATTGCGGAAAGAAAGCAATATCATGAAAGTACTGGTGGACGATACTTAAAGCATTTGGAAGATGATACAGTAGACGATAAAGAGATAATAGGAAGTATGTATGCATAGAACATGCAATATTTGTTACATCGAATTAATATTTAAACTATTAATGTTTAAATTAATATTATATAATATTTAAATTAATGAACTATTAATATTTAAATTATTTTATCTACTTAAGTTAAGAAAAAACGACTCGCTATGTTGGATCTTTTGATAGCGACGGCTCATAACGGACTGAGTGATATGGACATCAGAGAAGAAGTCGATACTTTCTTGTTCGAAGTAAGCATTTATATTTAATTGATATTTTATGGAGATAACAATTTTTACTTACTTTTTCGGTAAGACCATGCAATATTTTTCATCAATATCGTTGTTCAAACTATAAATCGAAAGATAAAAAGTTCTTAGGACAACTGATTTCATATTTTTATCAATTTTCTTCAAAGGGTTTTAATATTTGTGTACTTGCATATAAATCTGTATATATTATTTAAAAATAATATAATTAATATCATAAATGTTTCTAAAAACAAAAGTTTTACATACATTATGTAGATTCTAATTATTCGCATAGTAGTCGATATAACTACAAAACTAGAAATTTCCTTAAACATGTCTCTAAAGTTTAAAATTTAACTTATATTCCGCGATACAATTTTATGTCTTCTTTTCTGATCACTTTATTATCTTTTTCCTTTGATTCTCTTCTGCTTTTCATCTATCATGCCTAATTCTTTCACTCCTTTAGTACATCACTTATGATTTTTACAGCATTTTATTTTAGTCATCATTTTATAAATTAATAATTTTAGTTTCTGTTAGCAATAAATATTTTATTAGTTAATACAATTTGAATTATTAATTGTTAATTATTTCAAATATTCTTCTATGGAAATACAGACAGAAATAGTTCTTTACCATATAAAATAAATACCTAAAAACTTAATAAAGTTAAAATGATTAAAAATAAAATTATCTTTTCATAGCTTGCATGTAATACAGAAAAGAATTTAAATGAGTTTCTTATTACAGGGGCATGATACCGTAGCAATGGGACTGACTTATGCAATATTGCTGCTAGCTGAACATAAAGATGCACAGGTATTTTTAATAACAATTTATTCAACCTATAAACACGATTAATTTTATTAATTTTTTAATAATATAATATAATTGCTAAACAAACATTGAAAATATTAATTTAAAAGTACATATAGAAATATATTTTTGTTTTTATATATGTATTATTCAAAAAGACTATCTTATATATAGAAAAAGAAGTAGCCTCTGTCGTATTTTTAATTAATGTATTGTAATTGAAAAAATATAAGTCATTAAACATGACAAACTTTGTTTCCTTATAGGAATGCATCAGAAGTGAAGTTAATGCAATCATGCAAGCAAATGGAGGGAAACTTACTATGTCAGCGTTAAATGATATGTCATACTTGGAAAGATGTTTGAAAGAATCATTAAGATTATATCCCAGTGTTCCTTTAATATCGCGTGTCTTATCGGAAGATGTAAAAATGCGTGAGTTATAATTATATATGAATATTTTATAAAGCATAAAATTGTGAGAAATGTCTTATGCGCGAAAATAACTCTCTCTTCAATTGCCTAATATTTTAATATTAATACGCAAAAATTTTTCAAAGAAGTATTCATAAGTTAATAATTTTCTCCCTTTCTCTCTATCTCTTTGTTTTCTGTTACATAATATTTCCAGTTTAAAATACATAATGTTGTAAATAGAACTTGTCAATTCTAAGCATTTTTATAATTAGTTTAATGTGTAATTTTTCCATTCGTGAGATCATTAACTCACAAAAAAATTGTATTTTAAATAAAATAATTTATATATAAATATTTATGTATGTTTGTGTGTATAATTTTAACTAAATTATTAAAAGATTATATTTTGTTATATTTGATTATATTTTCAGGATCATATTTGGTGCCTTCTGGAGCAGTTCTGCATATAAATATTATCGATATTCATCGAGATCCCAATTACTGGCCAAATCCAAAAGTTTTCGATCCAGATAGATTTTTGCCTGAGAAAATTCAAAAACGTCATCCTTATTCCTACTTACCGTTTAGTGCAGGACCACGAAATTGTATAGGTAATATATAAGATGTTAATTTCTTGTCTATATTGTAGAAACTAACTCTAATGTATTTACGAATAATATAGGACAACGGTTTGCTATGCTGGAACTGAAAGCTATAATGGCATCGTTGATATACAACTTTTATCTCGAACCTGTCGATTATTTGAAGGATCTTGAGTTCAAGACGGATCTAACACTCCGAGCTACGTGTCCAATCCGTACACGATTTGTACCAATTGATCACTGATGCTACCTGGTTCATTTAATTTTTGGTAATATAATTTTATTTAACAAGACAAAATTAAGAATTTTAAGATAAACTAACTCGGAGGACTGTTATTGGTACATAATTTTGCAAATATATATTTTTGTATGGTATATAATTTATATAGTTATTTACTATATTGGTGTAAGCCGTTGGGATATCTTTTGATTTTTAATAATATTTGTAAATGTTATTAAAAATAAATTTCATTTTCTTTTCCTCCTTTCTATAAAAAGATATATTAAATCGATAATTACATATATCGAAGTATTATATATAGAGCCTCTTTTCCTTTCGATGCTGATTAATATTTGATTCTCTCGCTACGCTTATTTCGTGAGCGACTATTCTTACATATTTTGACAGTTATGTTATTGAGGTTAATAGTGTAATAACAAGGATAATATAAAGTAAAAAATATTAAATAGCGAAGCGCGTGTAATGCCTAGTACAAATATTGTAAAAATTTATTTTATCCGTCTCCAATTGTTGTTCTCGTGTATCTCTTCTCAAAGTTTTGGCAGAAAGAATGCAGCCATTCTCTTAAGAAATTATCAGATTTTGAATATGATTATATTCACAAGGAAACATACTCTTACGAATACTACTTTATTTCGAATGTGTGTCACACGAAGACTCGATACCAGGACTGACTATCCAGGAGCCGTTATCGAAAACATAGATCTTGCAGGTGTCATTGATTACGCATCATTCACGTGATCCAATACACCTTTCTAATACAATTCTATAAATATGAACAATTAAATTTAAAATTATTGTAGTCCGAATGCTACCACAAATAAGCTTGCATTTCAGCATATCAATCAGCTTGCGGAAATGCAAAACTACAAATTCCTAAGTTGCACGCGGACAATGGTCGCGCTCGCGTTGATTCTACATATATGGCCACATATGGTCATATAATAAGTCGCAACAATACGACACCGCGAAACTCCTTTAAGGTAGTACACTCGCGAATTGAAAACAGTCAGAATTTCTTGAAATTGAAACTATACGTTGTACTAGAAATCGTTGACATGCTTGTGCAATTAGAATGAGATTGATACCGTTTTAATACTGAGATATAAGCAATTAAAAATTGCATTGTTTGTACGTGTCGCCTATACAAAGTTCATAAAAATGTCGCGTTTATTTTTGTAGGGCCTAAACTAGCAGTAAGATGTTAATAAAAAAACGAGCATGCGATAAAGGGGCATAAAACGGATATTGTGAAAAAAATTCATAATTTTTTACCGTTCAATTTGGAAAATAGAGCCTTGAAAAAAATGTAATTTTCGATTTTAATTGACACATGAAAGCGAGTGAAGGAGGCGACCAGTCGTTAGTCTGCGTCTATCTGAATTAATTTTTTTTCCGTGTGTGCGGCTTATGGGCAGGCACAACCAAATATTTTCTCTCACTGGCGGGAGTGGGAGTATTGCCACCGAGCACGCGATGGGACCTAACTTTTGGATGGTATTGTCGCGAGTGTACTATCTTAAATTCGGTTGTTTAATCGTAAGCAACGAGCCTATGTTTAGTTATTTTTGTTAGCTGAACTAAGAGCATGCGTATCCGACCAGTTAACGTGACTACTGTGTTAACTTATCTAATTTGTTTAAATATTTTTTTACTGAAATGAATAATTTTAAAAATCTGATTTTACATTTGTAATCAGCAATTCAAAAAACTCTTAGATTTTGTATCAAATTGTTTGTTAGATATTATTGTGTTTATAGTTAACAAGACGGTAAAAATGAAAGTGATAATAACTGCCTTAAAGTTGCATGTGGTCAAAATATTTTTTATAGTTCTACATTATGACAAATTTGAAAGAAATCAGAGAGTTACACTTGGATAGTTTACTTGTAGACATGACAAAACATAGACGTAGTAAGTATAGACTGCGCATTCCTTATATAATTGAACTTAGCATCTGTGCTCCGTTAAAAGGAGAACGAAATATTAAATAATTTCATTATCTCTTTTTAATTCACCTTGGTGGAGAAAGCTTAGAGAAGGACGTCTTCATTCATAGAGTCACAATGACCTTCACTACTGATATTTTGAAGAGAGAGAGAGAGAGAGAGAGAGAGAGAGAGAGAAAGCGATACGAATCAACTACTTTAGTCTTTCTAAATTGATAGTGACAATAAATAAATAAATTACAAGGAATGCGCAGTCTATACTTATTACGTTTATGTAAAAAAAATTTCATTTGTGAATCAAGATTTGCAAAGATGGTAGTAACTACATGAGTAATTGTTATCAAAAGTTTAAGATAAAAAATTTTATTTGTGAACCAATATTAGTATAGATGGTAGTAACTACATGAGTGTGCAGTCTACAATAATAATTGGATCTGCAGTTTATCATTAGAGTTACTTATGATATAAGTTATATCATTATATCAGTTATAGTTTTTCGATTGCAGTTACTGAAATCTCTTTTATTAGATTTCTAATTAATTTCAAGAAAATAATTTGAAAAGTGTAATATAATAAATGTATATAAACATAAAATATAAACCTTCTTTGGAGGATAAATAAAAAATAAAAATAACTTACAATTAGAGAAGTATTTGCTAATAAGGTAAGGTTATGTTTCTATTCATGCTATTAAAATAATATTTTTCATCGAGAAATTATTAACCAGTTTTAATAATTACAATATAGATTAGAAGAAACAATATATTCCTTCAAACTATATTATATCTTTAAATTATAAATTATATAACATATAATATTATTTATTTAAGATATTTGTAAATATACAAAATTTTAGAGATGTTGATTGTATAATTTATTGTAATTTATTGTAATTTTTCTATTATTATTAATGTAATATTGAAGTGATAATTTAATTTTTGTTACAGCTCATATTATATATACGCCTTGATATACAAGAATTAAAAGAAAGGATAAACCGGAAAAATGAAATAAATTCGAAAAAAATTTTCAATTATTTCACAATGATCTTATTATTGTCCTTATGCATCTTTATTGTATTAATGTATTTCATTCTTTATTATAGAAGATTCAGACGACTTCTCAAGAAAATTCCATGCTGTAGATGGCAACTGCCATTTATTGATAGTACTTTAGAAGTCTGCTTTTCTTCGCAGGGTAAGTAAAATTTTATAAAAATGTTTGTTTTAATAACAAACGCATTTATTTATAAGAAATGCTAATTAATAAAATTAATAAAAAATAAATACCATGTAAATGACAAACTGACAATTGCATTATGCAGTGTTTCGCCGATAGTAATAATTCAAACTAATGCGTATAAATATAATTATTAGTGCCTTTAAAATATTTGTTTCTTGTAATTGCATTTCGTAAAACACAAAAAATGCATTTTTCAGCAAACGTATAATTAAAAAAAATATATAGATCATATTTTTTATTATTGGATTTATAACTCATATGTAATGTAGATAACAATAATTATTTTCCAGAGACATGATACCGTAGCAATGAGTCTGATGTATACTATATTAATGTTAACTGAGCATCAGAACGTGCAGGTATATAATTTTTTATAAATAATTAAATAATCACATACAATTAATCAAATTTATTAATATTTTTTATTTTTCATGTAAACTTTTTAAGCAAGTAATTAAAAATGTTAATTATTTGTAAAAGTATGTACAACATTTTTCTTTTTGTTTCTAATAATTGCTAAATAAATAACAATTTAATAATTAAATAAATAAATATTTAGCTTGTGTTTGTTAAATAAATAGATAAGCTGTCAGCTAAGGAACAAAGAAGTAAAGTGTGAAATAGAATCATAAAAAAATAAGTACTAATAATAATAAATTTAGCGTCGAGGGATAAAATGTGTTCGACTACACAGAATTATCCTCAGTTATATAAAATTAAAATAATGTTAGTCATAATGAAATATGATATTGTCACATATTTAAAAAAAAATTATAATGATTATAAACCTAAAACAATGGCCACACCACAAATATTATAAACATTGGTGATAGAAAGTCAGCATAAAAATAATCCACACACGCAATAAACGCATTGTGCAAGTCAACTTATTATTGATGGGCAATGTAATAGTCAAAAATCCAGTAATCCAAAATAACGTAATTAATATCCAGTATTTTTGCGCAAGGTAACATCATTACGGAACGAGAAGAATTTACATCAAAAAAACTTTCTTGTCTGTAATTATTAAATAAGTATTTCTAGAAAAAGATATTGACCAAGTATATATTGCATAAATAACAACATCTATTATAACTAAAAACAAATTTATAATAGGATATAAGTGTTTGAGCAGGATCGATGTGTTTGTCAAGGCTGACAAAGATAAAAACTCAGCTTCAAACAATAATGTAATTTATAAAATCTGTTGCAATAATTATAAAGCTTCTTATTTAAGTTAGACAAAAGGACAATTAAAAACAAGATTCAAAGAATATAAAAATAAAATTTAAACAAAATATTTAGTTATTACAGAACATGCTCGAACATGAACATTTTTTTAATTGGAAAAATATTAAAATTCTAGAACAAAATTATTGTAAAGACTTATCTCTGAGATGTTACATATATTATAAATGCTTGATAAAGCATATTTTAAGATCCTTAATAGACTTATTGATTCTGATTAATAATATAAAAATAAAAATAAAAACTGTACCTATCAACTTTACGAGCTCAAACAACAATTACATTATATGTGATTTTTCGTTACACAAGCACAGTCAACAAGAAAGACTCAATAAATAGATATGTAAGATATGATGTCATTTTACATACATATCTACATACATGCATTTTTCAATTTCCAAAAAAGTGTTGAAATTTATGTATAATATATAACTGAATTTCAGGTCGTAATAATGTGTTGATCAATATCTTTTTCTAGAAATATTTTTTTGATAATTACAGACTCTAAAGTTTTTTTAAAATTAAGTAAATTTTTCTCGTTCCGTAACAATGTTATCTTATACAAAAAAAGTTTTTTTTTACGTTTGTGAGTTATTTTCAAACTGACTTTTTATCACTAACGTTTATAAATATTTGCGGTTCTACTGTTTTAAGTTTTTAATCTTTATAATTATTTATTTATTTATTTTTTAATTATGTGACAGTATTATGTGTTTTATCACGTCTAAAATTATGTTAATTTTGTATAACTGAGGAAAACTCTATGTAGTCGAAACATTTTATACCTTGACATTAAATTTATTTATTGTGATTTCACTCTTTATTTGCTCGTTCCTTGACTGTGTCACCTTATCCGTTTGTTTTTAAAAGTATAAAATATACATACATGTACTTATATACACACACATATAAACATACAAACGCGCGCGCGCGTTGTGTGTGTACGTATATATCAACACTTTAATAACTTCTTTAATTAGTAATTAAAAAAACAATTTTTTAAAATGCAAAAGTTTATTTAATGATTTAGGAACGTGTCAGAAATGAAGTTAAAGCAGCGATGAAGAAAAACGGAGGAAAGCTTTCTATAACAGCATTGAACAATTTATTTTATCTAGAAAGATGTTTGAAAGAATCGTTAAGATTATATCCCAGTATTCCTTTAATATCACGAATCTTATCAAAAGATATAAAAATGCGTAAGTAATTTATAAGTTATATATTATATACGCATTCTGAATACAAAGAAATACGGGAAAGAAATATTATAACATATAGCATATAAACTCTGATTCAATACCTTAATATTAAATTATTATTTTTTTAATTAATTAGGTATTCTCTCTCCCTCTTTACATACATATGCTACATAAAATTCTGAATTTTAACGTAGCATTCTTACATAATATTTGTGAAAATAAAAGTTTCCAAATCGCGTTTCTATAATTAGTAGTTTCTCTTTCCTTAAATATATAATGTATATATTTATTTCAACTAACAAAGTATTAACTTTAATATGGAAGCATAATAGTGGAAACAATGTGTTGCGCCGCTGGCACAACGGGGTCAAGCTCCGCGGGGGAAACGGGAAACTTCCGTGGTTACATAACTCACTCACCAACACTGTTTCGATTCTTGATAAATATGTACTTTATTTCACTTAAACTTCGGACTCTGTGTAATTACAATTTTCCTCCTTTCTTACTCGATACTTGTCGCACTTGTGACGGACTTAGCAACGCAACACGGACTTATCCTTCGATGGATGACCCCTCGCGGCTTGTCTCCGCGCGTAAATATAGTTCTCGCGTTGCTGCGTCAGCGTTATACCGTGACAAATGTAATTAACTTTATTCATCAAACTTTTATTGTTCTTCGAAAATTATGTTTATATTATATATATTTAGAATCTGGTACCTTCTGGAACAATAATGCAGATTCATATCCATGATATTCATCGAAATCCCGATTTTTGGCCAAATCCAGATGTATTCGATCCAGATAGATTTTTGCCTGAAAAAATTCAAAAACGTCATCCTTATTCCTACTTACCGTTTAGTGCAGGACCACGAAATTGTATAGGTAATGTATAAAATATTTATCTCTTATCATACAAACAACCTCTAATGTATTTACGAATAATATAGGACAACGATTTGCCATGTTGGAACTGAAAGCTATAATGGCGTCGCTGATACACAACTTTTATTTGAAGCCTGTCGATTATATAAAAGATCTTCGGTTCATGCAGGATATGGTAACTCGCGTTGCACATCCAATTCGTGTACGATTTGTTCCAATCGAACACTTACAATCTGAAGTTAACATATAATTTTATTTGCCAATAAAATAATTCACGCTTTCTAGTAAAGAAATTTTTAGATAAAAATCTTTTATACACTGTAAATACAATTTAAAAAATTGAATAAATTTGTTTAAACAAATATTATATAAAGATACGTTTGTTAAAAGGTCGATAGCAATTACATTTGTATAATTGTTTAATTACTTGTTTAGTGTTCGTTATTATGTATTCGCTTCACATTATCTCTTAGAACATGTACTACAAGGAGAATCCCTGTTAAAAAAAATTGATAAAAAAACGATAAAAACGATATAATATCGTTTTTAATCGTAATTATGAATCGTAAAAGAATTATCATGCATAAACAATTCATTAGGATAACGTTTTAATCATTTATTTATAATAAATTTCATCAAAACAATATAAAACAATAAGTTACTTTAGAAATTCTATCGATATTTCATCGTTTAAAATTGCTTTCATCAGATAATGATAGAAAACGATAAGAAACGATAACATTTCTTTCGGAATAGGAAAAGTGGAACGATAGATATGATAAAACACGATAAAATATTTGGAAGATCCTATCAGTTCCTATCGTTTTCTATCGATTTTTTTACCAGATATGTTTATAGTGTGTATCGAGCTGAAGCTGACATCTGTTCGAGAGAGAAAGATATAGGTTCCCAATTAACTATAATGTGCATGTGCCAGTCAGCCTCCACTTAGCCCCGTTTTTCATTTTTTTTAAAGATTTTCAAAAAATAAGAAATTAGATAAAACGGGCTTAGTGGGAGCTGAATGGCACATGCGTATTATAGTCAATTGGAAACCTTTCTCTTTCGCACATATGTTGGCTTCACGTTCATTCAATTCTTCTTCCAGTAATATATGTTCTAAGCATTATCTATAAAAAAAAGCAGAACATGATTTATAATTATAACAATGCTGTCGCTTCCCCTCTCGGGAACGAGATACGTACGTCTCGAGATATTCTCGAGACGTACGTATCTCGTACTTATTGTGGTGATGGTAAATCAAAACAAGGATGACATAGTAATAATATGTGTGGCACATAGGGGTGAAGGTTTAGGAATAAATGGTGGGAGATGAGAGGTGAGAGAGAGTGAGAATTGAGTGAGAGAGAGGGAGCAATTGAAGTGGGTAGATAGTGGAGTCATGGATTCTGAAAGCAGAGTGACATTTAGAAAAGTAGAAGAGCTTGAGACGTGAAAGAAGTACAACGAAAATTATACGAGCATTCGATCGACCCGCAGTCGATTGAAGATACTTTGATCGAGACGAGAGTGGTTCACGCTTATAGACGGTCCCAACAGGAAAAAGTATATCGCGATCCGAGGTGCACGGAGCATCAAGAGCCAACGAACATTTACGATCTTTTCGGCATAAATTCTGATATCAGCCGCAATTGTGGCAGATCGACAGCAGAATCCGTGACATCAAACAGAAGCAAGGTTACTTTATCATTGTTCTCTCTATCTTTTCGCGGCTAAATTTAGAAATCTCTTCCGCGACTTAGGCTTACGACTGTGCCATACATTATTAGAACAATAGGGTGTCTATTATATTATTATTCTGAGAGTTCACAATCTTTTGTGTGTACGCGTAAAAAAATTCATATTAACTTTAACATATTAAATTGCTGTATTACGTAGATTTTATAAATGCTTTCGATCATTGTATAAATCCGCAAAAACTTTCAATATTTGTTATATTTAATTGCGTTCAAAAAATTTTCAAATATAGTTATTTTCGAGAAAAGAGATTTATATAGGGATAACACTTAACACAAAACGAGTCCGTGTCAAGATACACGACTTATATTATAAAATTATATTATAAAATTTCGATATCAAGAGTTTAGTTGGTGTCCAAAAACGAAAAAGTTCTGATGAAATGAGATAAATAAAGTATGATAATACAAGCATATGTTATTTTTTTTAAATATTTATTCCTGATTGATTATCTTAAATTGGGCACTGTTACAATACGTTCTAGTATCTCACAATCAGAAACCAAACTATCAAAATTCTGCACACATTTACGTGCTGGTATAACAAAAATTTAAAATTTAATTATATTATTATGCGCTATTTGTAAACTTTTTATATTCGTCAAAATAATTGCTTCCTCATTTTTAAAAAAAAGATTCTTATCGAATTTAGTCGAGCGTTCACCGACGAGCATGGTTACACGTTAATTAAAATTAATTAAAGTAATTGTACAAAACAAATATACATAATTAAGCATTTTGATATGTAAAAATAATTCTAATTTAAAATTTTGATCACTTAATAAGAAACTTTATATTCTCAATTTATAGATCTCGGATAAGAGAAAAATTCATTTTACCTTGTAAATGTATCAATTTTCTGTTACTTTGACAGTCACAAAATACGAATAAAATGACGAAGAACTACAATATTAAATAAAACAATTATTATTATCCTATGATTATATAATCTCACGTGTCGTAACTTCTCATATATTTTTATAACTGTGTTTATAACTGTGCAGACAAAAATAACTGTAGATTGAAGTTTAAGTAGGAGTAAAAAATCAAGTACTTTCTTCCCCCCCCCCCACGCCTGACTCTCATAAGTTGTTTAAAACGGTCGATTGTATTATATCAAGTGCGAATGTAGAAATATGTTACATTACACAGTATACATTACATATTAAAACAATTATGTTTATAAAACAAAAATGTTTTTGATGAAATCTTAATTAAATTTTAAATTTTGTTATTGAGCTATACGAGATTCTGTTTTCTTTCTGTAATGTTACATAATTATGACAATTATTATCGATGTTTCAAGAACGTGTTTTAAAATAGTGATTATCATAAACTGTGCAGATAAAAATAACTGTAGATTGAAGTTTAAGTAGGAGTCAACAATCAAGTACTTCCTCCCCCTCTGACGCTCTTAAGTTGTTTAAAACGGTCGATTGTATTATATCAAGTGCGAATGCAGAAATGTAGAAATATGTTACATTACACAGTATACATTACATATTCAAACAATTACTTGTTTTTGATGAAATCTTAATTAAATTTTAAATTTTTCTATTGAGCTATACGAGATTCTGTTTTTTTTCTGTAATGTTACATAATTATGATAATTATTATCGATGTTTCAAAAACGTGTTTTAAAATAGATAATTATCAGGTTTAATAGATTTGAATTTATACAAGGTGAGACATCTAAAACATTGAAATATGTAAAAAATTCGGGGCAAAAATGTTTTAGACAAAAGTTGTATGATTCAAAGAAGACAAATAATGAAATAAAATTAATTTCCAAAAAAATCGATTTTTCAAAGTCATATGGGGGTTATTTACACTTTTTTAAATGGGATGATATAATATTTTTTACATAATATGATTCCTCTAATAATTCTGCACATAAAAGTATTAAGATAAACTTATCAAAAAATCAATACCTTATTGTGATACTATACGTGATATTTTATACTTTTCACTGCCACATTTTAAAATAATATATAAATTTTTATTTATAAAACAAATATTTATAAAATAATTAACAATTATTCTTGAGCAAACAATAATAAGTGTCTTTAATTAATGGCAGAACGTATACATTAGAGAGAGAGAGAGAGAGAGAGAGAGAGAGAGAGAGAGAGAAAATTATCATTTTAAAGTACTTTTAAAGTAAAAAGTTTAAATAAAAGTATAACTAATACATTTTACCTTTTATTTATCAAATACATTTAGGTTATTAAGACGGCAGTTTATCCGGAAGCAAATACTACATATAAATAATTCGTGACATTTAATAGTCAAAAGAAAACTGAACAAAATTGAAAACTGATTAATTACCAAATCAACTAGCAATGATCATTAGTATATTATTATTACTTATTCTTATTGTATTGGCATATAATTATTACGTGCATTATGGAAGAAATGGACGACTTATCAACCTTATACCAGGACCAAAAGGTTATCCGGTCTCCGGAAATGTATTGGAATACCTATGTTCAAGAGGCAAGTTAAAATTTCATACATATTCACGTAAATTAATTTTCACCTTCGCATACATGTAACAGTAATATTTGCAAACTTTGCACTTTGAAATATATAACTCTCAATATTATGTTGCATGTTACTTTCAAAAATCAATTTTTTTTTAAGCAAAAACATTCATTTCTATAATTCTCGAAATTATCTAAAACGATAGAGAAAGATACATTAAAATATGATAATCAGAATATTTTTTTATTAATATTCACAATAGTTTTCACATAATATATGCATATTTTAGAAGAACAGTGGAAGCTTCTGATTAACATGACTGATGAATACTATCCCATTTTAAAAATTTGGGGATTCTTTAGGCCCGTTGTATCTATCCGTCATCCGGATGATCTAGAGGTAACAAAATATTAAAAAATTTACATTTATTATTTTTGTGATTTTAACGTATATAAATTTTATAACTAAAATTTAGAAGTATTTCTTATATTTTTTATTTACAAAATATGTTTACAAAAATATTTTCAGTCGTAAAAGATCTGTAAAAGATAAAATATCTGAGATAATTTGACAAACATATAGATGAACATTAATTGATTATCGATATGATATTATGATTTATCAGTTAAAAAATAATTTTATTTTTTTCAGACAATACTAAATAGTACGAAGCATATCAATAAAAGTATGATTTATTATGTTTTACTTTCTTGGTTCGGTACTGGTCTTCTCACTAGTGAAGGTAACATAATGTGATATTTTCTTTATTATTAAATTGTATCTACCGAGCTTTTATTGATAACAGCATTGATAAGGATTAGTAGCAAACTAAAATTATGCAATCGAAGTTTGTACATATTAAATATTTTAAATGATAAGTTTGTATAATAATCTTATTGTTTTAATAATATAACATATGAGTGAGAAAATAATATAAATGTAATGTATATGCAGTCATTTTGATGAATGTTATTGTCATATGTATTCTCAAAAATATTGGGCTAAGGTTTATTGCATAAAACACTTTTCTTTAATCAATTTTAGTTTTTTTCGTTTTTTTTTATTTATAAGAAACAATAATATTGACAACTGTTAGGTGTTGACAAATAATTGTAATTCTTTATATCAGTACTATAAAAAAAGTATTGAAAATGTTGTAAAAAAACTGTTCGTTGATACGTTTATGTATATTCATTAGTACGTATCGAGAAAACAAGAAATGCGTGATAAAGAAGGAATGAATTTAAAATAATCAATTACAAAACAATAAAAAATTAAATCAGAAAGCATGAAAGTCTCGCAACAATTTGTTTACGAAACGTTATCTCACGATTATATCGATGTGATATGTTTTAGGCGCCAAGTGGCATTCACGGCGGAAGATATTAACCCCCACATTTCATTTTAATATACTGCAACAATTTATTGAGATTTTAATCGAAGAAGGCGAAAATATGATAAAATCTTTGAAAAATACAGGAGGCACAGTTGTAAAAGATTCAGTATCGTTTTTCAGTGAACATACACTGAATGCAATATGCGGTATAGTATTTTGCTCATAACTATATATATAGGTATAGACTTTTATACGGAATGACAAATAATAATATAAAATAAGAATTTTTTTATATTCAAAGAGTATTAATATCATACTGTGTTAATAATCAACAAAATATAATTTTTACAGTTATAGATATTCTTGGATTATATATATGTAATAATATTATTGTGATATACTTTAACAACACTGTTGCAGAAACTGCCATGGGCACTTCTCTACAAGGCCTCGGTGCATTTCAACAACAATATCGAAAAGCGGTCCATCGGATGGGCGAACTTCTTGTATATAGGTAATTTATCGGTATTATAAATAAGCGTAGTATCTTAAGATATTTTAGATAAGTGTTTGTAAGTCTATGTCTTTTCTACATGTGATTACTTCAATATTATTAATTGTAACGGTATAGTAGAATTAAAGACAAGAATGAGGACAAGAAGCATTTATAAAATAATACTTTTATTTAATCTTAAAAGAGCACATCTATTATAAGTAATTATGATTTAGATTATTAAGGCAATGGTTGCAATATGATTGGATATATTCGTTAACGCCAAAAGGCAGGGAGCAAATAAAAACTCTGAAGATATTACACGGATTTACTGATCAAGTATGTAAACAAGTATTATTTAACATTATAATTCGTATCTATAGATATATTTTGAGAAATTAAAAGAAAGATTTTATAAGACTTTCGTATAAAAAAATTATAACATAATAAATATTACAACATAAATGTCAATAATGCTTAGTTAATATATTTGCATTCATATAATTCAATCAGAAAAAACATTAATTTTCTATGCATACAGATTATTGCAGAAAGAAAACTTTATCATGAACGTACTAATGGTCGGTACTTGAAAAACTTGGATAAAACAGAGATAGATGATGATGAAATATTTGGAAGTATGTAATGTAATTAGAACTATATCTTAAATTTAATCTGAATTCATATATTATTTTTTTACAATTTATTAAAAGCTATATGGTTTAAATTTTAAATATATTCAATAATGTAACAAAAGCATCATAAAAACGCAATAAAATTGATATTGTCGTGTTTATGTATTTCGATTTAGTACGAAAAAAACGGCTCGCAATGTTGGATCTTCTAATATCAGCATCTCGAGAAGGACTTTTGACTGATTTAGATATAAGAGAAGAAGTCGATACTTTTATGTTTGAGGTATTATTTGTAATTTCACTTGTTTTTTAATTTTTTATTTGGTATATTAATATAATAAATAGTAATATGGTTCCAGGGCCATGATACTACAGCGATGGGTTTAAGCTTTCTATTAGCATTGTTAGCTGAGCATAAGAACATTCAGGTATTCATCTTTAAATGAGAGCAATTTTTAGAAGAAAAAATTAATTTATTTCGTAACTGAAGAAATTAATTATTAAAATTGTAAAAATACGGTATATATATATATGTATTTTTTTTTCAAACCTAAGCTATCTATTGAGCCTATTTAGAAATTGATCCGTTCAGTCGTTGTTGAGATTCCGAAATCCCGAGTGCACACGACTCGCCGGCTCGCGTAAAGAGACACAGTTTGGTCCGGCGCACACCTCTTTAGTGCCGAGACACTACCGTGTCTCATGATATACATATATGTATACAGGGTGGACCATTTTAATCCATCCAGTCGAATATCTTGAAAATTAAGCCCGGGAGAGAAAAATTCTTCAGACAAAAGTTGTTTGGTTTCGAAGGGGACATAAGATGATAACATTGGTTTGACCCCGAGTGGCGTCGTCAAGGTCAGGACAAGGTCACTTTGAATT